AAAAAAAAAAAAAAAAGTTAGCACACTTTTATTTTTTTTAATAAGTGTTTCTTTAATTTTTTTTTTTTAAATATGGAACTTATTTAATTTTATTTAGAAGTCCAGGGAGGGGCGAGCGTCCCCCTTGCACCCCCTGGCTCTGTCCCTGTTGATGCAGATTAGATTGGTATAGTACTGAAGATTGAAATTCTCAATTAGATTAGTATGCTACTAGAGATTCAACTTCCTAGTTTTTGAATTTAGGAATTCTAATTACTTCTCCATGTTAATAATTAAATATTGATTATACAATTTTAAACATTAAATAAATCCAAGTTAAATCCAATACACTTATGTGTTGATTTCCTAATGGACAGAATATGGCACAAATTACCAGCCTTCCCATTGGCCTGCTGGCTAAGCAATTCGTTTAAGAATGCTTTAGTCATTGGTCATTGGTTCAAAGGTTGGTAACAGGACAGAAGACCAGAGAATATGGCACAAATCATAAATTAGGGAAGCTTGGGGATGGCATCCGTCTTTGTAAGTTCTATCTTGCTTTACTCTTTCTCCAGATTATGTTAGTATTAGAAGCTAGATGACGACAAATTGAACTCTTTGAGATAGAATTTGTCAGAAAGGCAACTCTTACTTAGAATTAGTCACCACAATAAACGTGTATTATGATAATTTGCAGGGGCAGAAATTGATGCCGACCTTCTATTGGCTGTTTTTCTTCCTGCTCTACTTTTCGAGAGTGCATTCTCGATGGAAGTTCACCAGATAAAGGTTTGCTTTAGCTACTATGTCTTAAAGCTTTAAGGGGGTCAAAATCTCACTTCAAAATACCAGTTTGAGTTCTTTAATTAGAATCTTCTTTCTTGTATCCCTTATGGACTCTGGTGTGCAATCAAAGAAACACTTTATTTGCCCATGAGAGGATGTCAAATTTACAAAATTTACAAGCGTTTGGAATGTGAACAACCTAGCTTTCTAAAAATACAGATCCCATGTAGTTTGCTATTCTAGTTGTTATTTACTCATTGTTTGAATCCCTGGGGCATTTTTGTTCTTTGGGCCAATCTAGGTCCTTTCTTTTTATTCCTCAAGTTACAAAACCAAAGATGTTGCTTATTTTTCTTGTCCTGAACAGAGCAAAAGGTTTTTCGACTTTTTATTTTTTAAATCAACAGGGTTATGCAGAAATTGTGTAAGTTTTTTAGTGATGTGTAAAAATGTTCTGAGGTGTTGAATGGATCAATTTGTCTTTTATGCTTGAACAGAGGTGTATGGCACAAATGATTCTACTCGCCGGTCCGGGAGTTCTTATTTCAACTTTCTGTCTTGGATTAGCTTTGAAGGTATTTTGCTTCCACAATATCTATCTTCTATGCAATTGTCTTTCTTTTTCCATAGTTGCAGTTCTCTCATCTTGTTGCAGCTCACTTTTCCATATGACTGGAGTTGGAAAATATCCTTATTGCTGGGGGGGCTTCTCAGTGCAACTGATCCTGTTGCTGTGGTTGCCTTGTTCAAAGAGCTTGGTGCAAGTAAAAAATTAACCACTATAATTGAAGGAGAATCTTTGATGAATGATGGGTACGTACTTATGTTTTCATCTATCTGTTGATTTTACATTGTGATAAACACTCTGGAGATGTCTGGTGAGGTAGCATGCATCTTGCCTGTAAATTGATCTTCATTGAATGCACTTCGTCTATATGTTCAGGACTGCAATTGTGGTTTACCAGCTATTCTATAAAATGGTTCTTGGACAGAGCTTTACTTGGGCCACCGTTATTGAGTTTCTGGCAAAAGTCACGCTTGGAGCGTATGTATCAATCATTTTCCTTGAGCAAAATTTTGACATGTTTTGATCTGGTTTTAAGATCCCTTTCTTGGTATTGATGCTAATGATTGCATTTACCCCATTGCATGGGCCACAGTTGATACAGGGTGCAAAGAAACATGAACATGGTTTTTACAAAATTTAAAAAAGGACTTGGGGATTAATGATGAAAATCATCATAATTATAGCATTATGTTTGATAAACATAGGGTGAGATAACTAGAACATTTACTTAACAATTTATAGTTACACTTAAAAAAAATGTTATTAATGTTTTATTTTTTTTAATTGCAAGGACTAGTTTATGCTATTGAAGTTGAGTTTCTTATCTTTGAACATAGATTTTGTATTAGACACCTATATAATAATTTTAAGATAGAACATAGGGGAAGGGGTTAAAAGATGCTTTGTGGAGTGCAGCAAGAGCCACTACAATTGATGAATTTGAAAGATGTATGTAAAAAATCAAGGAACTAGATGTCAATGCCTATAATTGGTTGGCCAGTAAGCCACCTCAACAGTGGTCCAAATCAAGGTTTGATACCTACCCCAAATGTGATATTTTAGTGAATAACTAGTGTTAGTGTTTCAATAGAGTTATACTTGACGCAACAGATAGGCCTATGTTGAGCATGAATGAGGAATTAAGATCTAAATTGACGAAAAGATTTTATAGAAGGAGGAAGTTAGGTGAGAAGTTTCTTGGTAAAGTGTGCCCTAGAATAGTGAAGAAGCTTATAATAAACTAAAAGCTTTCCAAAAAATATTGGCTTGAACCTTCAACACTTAAAAATTCCAAGTTAAAAGCCCCAACCACCAATACATTGTTGACCTTGATGAGAGAAGATGCAATTGTAGAAGGTGGGATTTGAATGGCATACCTTGTGCACATGCAATAGTAGCTATATCTCATAATAATGAGGATATAGAAGCTTATATTGCATATTGATATTCTATTGAGATGTTTGTAAAATCATATACTTGTGAAATTGATTGCGTCAATGGTCAGGACATGTAGCCAAAGAGTTCCTTGCTTCCACAGCTTCTACCATTAAAGTAGACTACTCTTGGTAGACCAAAAAAGAAGAGATGAATGGATGCAGATGAAGCTACATGTACTAAGGCAGCCAAATCAACCAAGTTGAAAAAGGTCGGAGTTAAAATGTCATGCAAGAGATCTGGCCATAAAGATCATAATATGAGGACATGTAAAAACATAGGGTATGCACCTAAAGCCTTACCAAAGAAAAAGAAGGCTATTGATGGGCTTGCTCAAGAGGTCATTGGGGCTACACAAGAAGCAGTTGATGTCAATGTCCAATCTTCACCAAGTGGGCAACCACTAGAAAATACGATTACTTGAATTATTTAAATTATTATGGTTCAATGAAGATTCTGGTATTTAAATTTATTTTATTAAGATAATGTTTCATAACTAAATTGTTTGTTGTAGGTTGGTGAAATTATAAATGAAGTGGAAAGTAGTGAGAGATCTAACATCATCACAATTAATCAAATGACAAATGTATGAAACAAAGTTAATTCATTTCTCTTAGTCTAGCTAGAATTGTATGTTGTTTGGTAGCTTCTAACTAGGACTTAATTTGGTGGCTACATGATGAAGGGCGTATCAAGTGTGATCAATAATCAAGATGAAGCGATTGGCACTCAACATAATCAAAGTGGATCAATTCAAGCTCCAAATGAAATAGGTGCCTAAAGATTTAACAACTCTTAGTGCTATTAATTAAGATAGTTTTAGTGCTACTAGTTTTGTGTGGACAAAATTTGTAACTAGATGGATAGTGGCTTTATATAGTGGAAATTTTTGTTTAAATTGTTTTTGGGTGTGTTGGACAAGTCTTAGCTCGGACTTATTATTGTAAATCATTTGATATGTGAATAGCTAGGCTTTTGTTGCTTTTGTTTCAATAATCATTTGCCTCAATTGCAAGGTAATCTAAGCCAAGATACTTAATACCTTGGTCTAACTATTTTAC